TCCTCTCCTTTCGACAACAGTTATATCAATTATCTCTTCTTCTAATTTTATCTTCAATTCTCTCTAGAGACTTGGAAGGCAATGAAATCACCTCAATCCACAAAGAAGCCTTCATGCCATTTGCCAAATTGGAAGACTTAAATTTAGGCAATAATATCTTCCCCGAACTGCCATCGGCTGGCTTGAATAAGCTGCTGCATTTAAAGACTTTCAACAATCCCAAATTACGCGAATTCCCAGCGCCTGATACATTTCCGCGCATACAGACGCTGATCCTCTCATATGCATACCACTGCTGTCCCTTCATACCGCTAGTAGCAATGTCCGCCACGAAGAAGCCACCCCTAGTGCAAGAGGCAGTGCTCTTTCCCTCCGACTCCGAATTCGATATGAGCTTGTGGAATAACAGTATGATGGATATATGGCCGCAGTTGCGTAAGTACATTAGAAAAATTTTCTAACGTTTTGATACAATTAAGTACATATAGAATATATTCATTAAACCCTTCATCTTCCAGAGAATCTCAGCAAAAAGTTTGGCAACCAAATGCACGATATCTGGGATAACTTCGGTCAAGACTTCAATTACCCTGGCAATACTCCCACCTATGTCGAGGAATACTTCGAGGAAGACAACACAGGCACCACCACCACAGCAACAGGCATGACCAGCAGTTTTGCTGGTTTTAGCACTGGCCTCTTCGGCACTGTAGACACCGAAATAGCGCCTGGCTCCATACAATGCCTACCCATGCCCGGCCCCTTTCTGCCCTGCGCTGATCTCTTCGACTGGTGGACTTTGCGCTGTGGCGTTTGGGTTGTCTTCCTGCTGGCGCTGCTGGGGAACGGCACCGTCGTTATAGTGCTCATGTTCTCCCGTTCCAAAATGGATGTGCCACGTTTTTTGGTATGCAATTTGGCTGCAGCCGACTTCTTCATGGGCATTTACCTCGGCATACTCGCCATAGTAGATGCTTCAACATTGGGAGAATTTCGTATGTTCGCCATTCCTTGGCAGATGTCGCTTATGTGCCAGTTCGCCGGGTTCTTAGCCGTGCTCTCTTCGGAGTTGTCAGTGTATACGTTGGCCGTGATTACGCTGGAACGCAATTACGCCATAACGCATGCGATACACTTGAATAAACGGCTGTCACTGCGTCAGTCGGCATACATTATGGCGGTGGGCTGGACCTTTGCGCTGATCATGGCGGCTCTGCCATTGGCTGGCATCTCTGATTACCGCAAGTTTGCCGTGTGTCTGCCATTCGAGACGACAACTGGCGTGGCCAGCCTGACTTATGTTATTGCGCTGATGTTCATCAATGGTTGTGCGTTTGTGACGCTTATGGGCTGCTACCTGAAAATGTATTGGGCCATCCGCGGTTCACAGGCCTGGAATACCAACGACTCCCGCATTGCGAAACGCATGGCACTACTGGTCTTTACCGATTTCCTCTGCTGGTCACCGATTGCCTTCTTCTCCATCACTGCCATCTTTGGACTGCAGCTAATCTCGCTGGAGCAAGCCAAGATTTTTACAGTTTTCGTGCTGCCGCTGAATTCGTGTTGCAATCCTTTCTTGTACGCAATTATGACAAAGCAATTTAAGAAGGATTGCATAACGCTGTGTAAGCACTTCGAAGAGGCGCGCGTAACACGTGGCGCCGGTGCCGCCGCTGCTACAGCACTCCCCGGTGGGCTTGGAAGGCGTGGCGGTGTGCGCGTAGCCAAAGAGCTGCCACCTTTGCTGCCTGCAGCGCATCCGCCCGGCTGTCGGTGCTTGCGAATGATGCCCAATGAAATGCCCAATTGGCATAAGCTGCAGGAGCGTGAACGTGTTCGCCACACATGGACGTCCAGTACATGGCATTGGTTGGCAATCTGCTGTCATTGCGCGGATCCGGATGATGATGACGATGATGATGTGGAGACGCGTCATCTCGGCGGTGGTCGTCGCCAACGGAAGTCGCATAAGGCGAGTAATCGCCATACGCGTACGCGTTCGCATAATGCGGCAACAGATCCGTACCTTTATCAGTTTGCTGAGCTGAAACAGAAGCAGAAACAGACACGCGCTAGCTCGATATCTAGTGAGAATTTCTGTTCATCGCGTTCATCTAGCTGGCGTAATGGTCCACCGTCGGCAGGCGCGGTACCGCATACTTGCAACGTACCACTCAAGATGATGGATCCGAATCGACGGAGACATTCTGCGTGGCTGATAACGCGAAAGACTTCGCAAGACTCTAACTTGTCGAGCTCTCGCAACGACAGCTCAGCTTCGGCGACCACGGCAAGCACTTCCACCTTCCGGTTATCGCGCTCAAGTGCGGGCAGTACAACGCCATTGCCGTCTATAATGGGTGAGTATATGCGGGATTGAATGCGGGAATATTTTTACTTCATTCGAGTTCATCCCATTCGTTTTTTTTCATTCACCGTATTGCATTTTATTTCGTTTCTTTCCCCTCCATTTTATTCCATTCCAATCTAGTTTCATTTCAGGTCGTTTCATTTGAATTAATTTCACTTCGTTCCATTCACCTAATTTTTATTCCATTTCATAGCTCTTTCATTTCACTCCACCTCATTCCAATGATGTATGCTTTCTAATTTAATTATTTTTCATTTTGGTTCATATGAAAACGCCCCGTTTACTATTTTGTTCCATTTTCTTCTTTTCCGTCCCGTTCCATCCTATATTTATAATCCCACTGTGTTCATTCTACATCATTCCACTTTATACTTTTTACTGAAATCCTTTTGATTCGGATGCATTTCCTTCCCTTTCCATTCCATTGAATTTCATGAATTTCGTGCCATCCCAATCTGTTGATTTTTTCCATTGCATTTAATTTCATTTCTTTCCCTTCCATTTTTTCCATTCCACTTCAGTTTTATTTCACTTCAGTTTACATTCACTTAATTTTTATTCCATTCCATTTCATTGCACATTGATTTTACTCCACATCATTCCACACTGAGACGCGTTTTATGCTTTCGTTTTTTGCACTTTGTTGCATATGAAAACGTCCCTAATATTTTTTTGTTCCATTGTGTTCTGTAACGTTCCGTTCCGTTCCACATTATCTATATATAAATACGCCACAAGAAATATTGCAATCCCTTTTTTGAAGGCACCGTTCGCTCGATTTCAATGAAACATACACCGATTTAAAGGATATAACTTCCTCTAATCCAGAAATGTTAATCCCGATACATAGGGGGCGTGGCATGTAACATATAGACTAAAATGTGAAAACTACTATATCTCTAAAACTAATTATGCGGGGAAACTGAAACTTAGCATAGATGCATAGATTGTAAATACCCTACGTACGGAGAAAAGTGGTAGATTTTTGAAAAGGGGGCGTGGCACCTCCCATACAAACTGAAATTCTCCTATTGCTTTTCTCTGGAACCGCTTAAGCCTACGCCTTGAAATTTTACCCAGCAATTTACGCTATCAATAACGTACTTAAAGCGAAAAACGTTAGATATTGAAAAAGGGGGCGAGGGGGGAGGTGCTCCCATACAAGCACCGCTGAACCGTTTATGCTAACGTTCTAAAACTTGACACAGCTGCATACATATGTATCATTACCGAACTCATGGGGAAAGTGGTGTGTATTCGAAAGGGGGATGAGGCACCTCGCATACAGAATGCAATTTCCATACCGCTTATACCTGGATCCACTTATGATAGATAAGGTAATGGAATATGATACATACATTTAAAATGGCAAAAATCATTCAATTGGGAACCATTTCCTACCAGATTTCTAAATCGCATTGAATGATTGTTGTTTTGTGTAATGATTTTTGAAATGATCAGTGTGTTTGTCTTTCGTTAGGTGGCGCAGGGATTGAGAGTTGAGATGGGCATGGGACAAAATATTAAGTCCCGATCCCGCTCATCCCGAAATTCAATTTTTAACTTCCGAACCCGCTCATCCTGACGTTTTTCAGAATTGTACCGTGGGCCCGGGGGCCACGAAATCTATCTCTAAAAAAATTCACATGTCTTTCAAATTAATTTTAAATAAATAAAAATTGTATGAAAGATCTGGCATCCTCCAATTATTTTATTTTGCTTTGCTGTTCGTTTTCGTCGCAATAAAACATAAAAAGTGCATATTTTATACAAATTTATTAAGGGAGATTTTCTGAATTTGCGGAAGTTGCGGTTTTATCGGGAGTAGCGGGAATGGATTTTGATCCCGTTCCGTCCGTTAAATTTTTACAGACCTTCCCGATACCGCTCGTCTTGAATATCAGTACCATGGGTCCCGATACTCCATGCCCATCTCTAATTGAAAGCTATCCTTAAAATGTATAATCAGATTTTAGGACACATAATAGCAACATAAAATTTGGTGCAATTCGGTAGCCCAATCATGTCATGCAAAAATATTGGGCTTTAGGCCCATTCTTGACAAAAATACGTGTAAAACCGCCGTTAGAGAAGGAAATATTATATTTTGTTTTACACCTTCGAGGTACTTAGCTTCCACCGATTCTGATGAAAAGAATGAGGAGTTTATGCAGATGATGGCAATTTAGTTTTAACGTTCCAAGTGGCACTCAGACCAATATAATCGAAAAAAGTATTTACAGTCTGGATTGGTATTTGTTTAACATAATAGTCAGTGAGGAACCGTTAGGCATCTCATCTATATATACAAATACATACATATGCATATTTTTTGTAAATGAAACTTTAGGTTCCTTTCTCGGTATAATTTCGAAGCAATTTGGTTTCAAGTTTTCCTATAAAGCATAAATGAGTCAATATTGGTGATAAACAAAATTTAAAAGTGTATGAAAAAATTTCGAATTTCGACAACTGGGCGATACTAGTACTTATAATCCCGCTGTTTTCATTCTACATCATTCCGCTTTGATTACAATCTTCTTAATTCTGAGTCATTTCGATTCCCTTGAATTCCTTATCATTTCATTCCATTTCGTACCGTCTTATCTATAAAATGTTTTCCATTCACCAAATTGTTCCGTTCTATTTTATTTCTATTTCCTCCATTTTTTTCCATTCCACTCCGTCTTCGTTACGATTGGTTCCATTCCAGTTCATTTCAATTCGTTCCCTCGTTTAATTTCATTTCACTGCACTAAATTTATTTTTTCTTGCTTTTTGTTACATACAAATACACTCTGGTTACTTTTTTGTTGCGTTTTCTTCTGTTCCATTCAATTTAATATCATTTCGCTCTTTCATCAAAATCTGCTTGATTCTGTTTCATTACCACTCCATCGATCCATCAGTTTCTTTGTCATGTCATTGCATTTCTCATCATTGTCTACTTTCCCTCCTACCAGCTCATAGCAGCAAAGCACAGCAACAACAACTACAACAGCACTCCACTCTACCCTCAAAACCGCGTCTCGTCCGTCAGGAGGCCGTTCAAGAGGAAGAAGACTCATCTCCACCACGCCTTGGCGTACGCTTTCTACCCACTATACCGTCGGCAGCAGATAGTTCCATTATCATGGAGGACGGCGACTCAGCCATGAACGTAGCCAGTGTGATGGGTATGCCGCTGCCAGGTGCAGCGAGCGGTTTTTACACTGTGCTGCAGGCGCAAAGTGGTGGTGCGGCGAAAACACTGCTCACCTCGACGACGAGTCCACAATTCGATACACCGAAAGAAGAACATCCACCATGACACTGTTTGGGTTGGTTCGTCGGCGGGCAACAAAAGCGAATGAGAAAACAAAAACCACCAAAACGTGATAGCAACAAAAAAAGTGGCATTAGTGAGGCATTTCTCTAACGGACGTATTGAAATTTACTGTTCATACAAATATACATATGTATGTTCGAATAATTAAATATACATATGTACTCTTCGAACGCATGCATGGCATAAGTAGTCAATTTGTACAGTAGCTGATAATAATGGCGTGTTTCTAAATGTGTGAATGTTTGTGGATATGTAACCGCAAAAGTACTTAAAATATTTTAAATATTTAAAAAGCTAAAAAATGCTTATAAAACATAAGTATGTATGTACAATATATAAGTTTAGCAATACAGATTCACACATACATAAATATTTAAGTGTGCATTGAAAAGCATGTTATAGAAAATAAGTATTTATTGCATAAAAATAAGCTAAACATATATGTATGTATATGTATGCATTCAGTTTTGCTGGCGCTAAAATAGTACTTAAATAACTGCGAAAATTATTTATTTCAAATACTTTTTATCCTCAAATATACTATGATGAACTTTTGTTTTGTTGTTATTTATATATTTTAAAAAAATTGTTTATCGATTATTTTAAAATTTTAAAGGTTTTTATTGATATATTGCCGCATTGGTATGACTTTTTTGCCAACTTTTTTGTCGATTTTTGTCAAAACTCTATAAAATTGTATTCGCGAAAATTTTTTTCTATGTTAGGTTTTAGAGAAATGGCAATATTACCACTTCAAAAATGTGTAAGATTAGATTCCCACAGAAAGCCGTACAATTTGGTACATTTTTTGAGTTTCAAATTTAAACTATGTTCATACGTGCATCTTAATTTAAGATATTTAAGCAATTAAGCTCTTAAAAGAAAAAAAAAATCAGAAAGAAATGACCAATTCAAAAATTTAAAACATAATCAGAATACATATGTATTTTTAAAAACTTATCAGGTGCCGCACTAAAACCATAAGAAATTGGATGGCGCGCCCACCGCAGACAGGTTTATTTTATTAGAATCAGACAGCGCTTTTGGTAATGTTGATTATGAATAGGAAACACCAGCGGCCATGGAGTCTGCACTCAGTCTCAGGCTTCGGTCTCAGGCATGCCGAAGCAGATGATGAAAACACAACAACAACAGCCAAACATATAATGTATAATTTCTTTTATTACCCTGTGCGTTGCTGTAATCATAGGTACTGTAAAGCGGAATTTCAATCAATCTTTGAAACTCATAAACAAAAGAGCATGTTTAGCTGTCAAATGCCAATTGTATTATCCAGTGATGCTATGCTAAAAAATAAATGCGAAGCAACAAAAGAAAAACGCTTTCTAACCCGGAAAAATAGAAAAAAGGCCCTTTTTTATTAATTATTTCTGTGTTAAAAAAAACGGATCTTTCGATTGCTATGACTTAAACAATATTAAAAATCACCATCGTTGATAAAAATTACCAATAAATTTTCGTTTCGAATTTTCGCCGTGAAAATGGAATAATTTTATAAAATGCATAGCCCGTGCAAAAATCTTTGGAAATCATTGTTTTCAAATTTGTTTCCCCATTTTCTCTCTACTTCCAAGCTAGGCTAGGCACCGCTCAGCGCGCCTGGGACATTTGACGTGAATCGCCCCACATACATACGTTTGTTTTATTTTTCTATTTTACCCCTCAAACGCCTTAACATCGAAATACACAAACTAAAAATAACTCCGAGCTGGATTTTTTTAACAAAAAATACCTTTTTTTGTTTTTTAATCGACTTCACAAAACGGAGAAAGTATCAGTTCGTCGGAATATTTAACCGATTTCTAGAATTCTTTTTTTAAAGAAAAGGTATTACCTCACAGGTGGCCCCCTTCTTAATTTGGTTTAAATCCGATCATTGGATCATAAAGAAATTAACGATAATCTAAAATTTGTATATGAGAATTGAAGTCGGTTTTGTCTTTTGCTTAAAAATTACTTTTTTTTATTATTTAAAATTTTTTAAAAGTTTCTAGAACATCCTTTTTAAACATTTTTAAGAGAATGATTTTTCAGAAACTGATACAGATTTTTTTCAAAGATTATTTAAGATTTTGCAAGAAAGATGAAAACGTATCTGTTTTTTTCTGCGCCCTTTTTGATTTTTATCAAACAAATTTGTGATATTTATTAAGAATTGGAAAAATTACAGGATATGTTTTGGAAAACTAAAAACCTAAAAAAGCTGTAAAAATTTCAGAAAAATTCAGGCAATCCTTTTGAGTGTCGATGCGAGTTCAGGGTGTTTATTTTATTAAAATAAATGAAAATACATTAGTTTGCCAATATATTTCAATCTCCTCCGGAGATCGTCTTCAGAGGTCACGTTAATTAAATTTTAGCGCAACGACGTCCGGTCTCGTTTGTCATGCAGTTTAATACAATAAACGCCCTGACCTAGGGATTGTTTGATTTGTTTCAAATATTTTGACAGCTTAATTAATTTTCCAAGAAATATTCTTACTATAAAAAATGTGTTTTCCCATTCTTAATAAATATCACAAATTTTTCATTAAAGACTAAAGCAATAAAAAAATACATATATTTCTTTGTGAAATTCCACCAGCAGCCCGTATACACCCCGTGTAAAATTATAAGCGCACCTCATATTTACAAATTTTAATCATTTATTATTTTTTTAATTTTTTTATTTTAGTTATTTCTATATAAGAAATATAGTTTCTTCTTTAACAAAACCCGTATAATCCCTCCTTTTTAATATTAAATAAAAAAAAATCAACAAATGCTCCTAAGGCTTTCATGCTTTTGAATTTGATTTCTTAGAAATATTTTTAGTACACAGTTTTGTATCCCATTAAATTTTAGTAAAAAAACTCTAACTTTGAAGTAGCTAGAAATTAGCGTTGATTTTTGATATATGTATTTTTTTTTGCTGACGTTTTATTGAACTCTTCCTTCCATACAAAGTATGTTCGAAGATTTTTTTATTTGAAAGAAAATGAGAAATATTTTTAATTGAATGGGCTACCAAACTGCTTGAAATATTTTCGAAATTTTATTAATTTGTTTTTTTTTTTTTAATATTGCACTAAGTTTGAAACTTGGTTTGTACGGTTTTTGTTAAGGAAAATATTATATTTTTATAACCAAAATATTGAAAAATATGTGGTGCTTTTGAAATTTTGACACGGAGTGTCATTTAAAGCATTATTTTGTTGTTGTATGCTTTTTTAAGTATTAAGTATGAATGTAATAATGTAAAAAAATAGTTCTAAAGTGATAATATTTCTAAGGAGTACTTAGTCATAAGCAAATGTAACAATAATATACATGCATACATACATACGTATAATTCAAACAAAAAAAATAAAAATAAAAAAAAGTGATAAAAAAATATGAAAGTACCAAGATCAAATCAAATGCCTGTTGTTTTCATGCGTTTTTTATCGCTGTAGGTTGCTGGGTGCACTTGAATTTAATGCCAAACGCTATTTCATTTTCATGGGCAAGGTCGAAATCATGCAAATATTTCTTGCTATTAGTCATAGTGGAAAGCATCCGGTAGGCAAGTGCATTTTCTAGCATTACACATGAGAAATTGAGATGAGAAACTAATGCCTTGTTAATACAAAAAAACTAAAAACCCGAGAAAACGGCTTTAAAGTTTAAAGTTAACATGAACTCCTATGGCAAAAATGTGCTAACCATCGTAAAATCTTAAGCTTAACATTTTTTTTTATGTAAAGTAATGATTAAAATAGTTTTAGAGGATTTCTAGCTACACCGTAAGGTTTTTAAACTGATAAAAAAATATAAATAAGCCACCCCTAAAACCATGTTAACCGTTATTTACACAAAAAAAATGTTAAGCTTAAGATTTTACGACTCTTAACACGCAACGGGAAACGGAAAAAGAGGTGGCGCACAGTGGTGTGAAACTGGAATTTACTGTTCATAATCATACATGGCCTTCATTTTTCAACAAACTTGATAAATATTTTTTAAAGGAAAGCCTATAAAATTTATTTGTGTAAAGTGCAGGGAAAGTAACAATTTTGAAGGAAATCCAATCCCCTATTCCAGTTAATAAATGTCACATAATAAACACAAGTTGAAAGCATTTGTGGGTTTCCCCAAAAATTAAAAAAATTAACAAAAAAATTTTAAAAAAACTTTCACCAAAACCGATTTTTTTTTGTAACGATTAGATACATTTTAGGTATGCAGTATTATAGCTCATTAAATTTTAGTATAAGAAAAGGGAAGTTTTAAGTGGCTAAGAACTCTTGTTGGTTTTTAACAATTTTATTTATGCTAATATTTCGATTACATTCACATAGGGCCGGTTACTCAATGTCTGGTTACAACAATTCGGCTACACTGCTTTATCGATCACATGTTATATGCATGGAGTCGAAGACGTCGATAACGATGTTTAACCGCAGATTAGTGTTAACCAGACATTGAGTAACCGGGCCTTAATATGGAAGAAAATACCTAGCAGCGTCAGGAAAAATATTAAAAAAAATTAACGCGAGTTTTTAGCCACTAGACCCTTGTACACTGAGCCAAAAGTACAATGGTATATCTGACTGTGGCTGAACGTTCATGGGTGCTTGCTGTTATTTTTTGGCTTCCAGCAGGTTCGAGGGTACGAATGCCGTCACTCCAACACTTCATTTTTATTATTTCTTTTCTGTGTTTGGTTTTTCTTAACTACGAAAAAGCCTCTGTGAAGTGCAGAACCAAATATAGTGACGAAGAAAATTGATTCAAGTTATACATTTGAAGATACATTTACAGTGCGGCTGTAGCTGAGTATGTAGAGATGCTAGCTGTTATTTGCTAATTCTGTCAGAGGCACGTGTTAAAATGATTACAAAAAATTTTGTTTTGTATCTCCAAATTATGAAAAAGAATCTGTGAAGTGCAGAAGGCAGATGTTTTCAAACGAAAAAATCGACAACCAAAAGTTTGGTTAATGTAAACAAAAGTGTTGTTAATATTACCAAATCATCGTTGAAAATATGCACCAGGGCATTGTTAATATTAATCAAAAATCACGTTGATTCCTTTTCAAGTTTGAATTTGGTAATGTTAACCAATTTTTAGTTGAGTTTTTTTTTTCTCAGTGTACTAAAATTTAATGGCCTATATAATTGCATACCTAAAAATTCAAAAAATAATAATTTTAATTTTAAGGATTTTTTTTTCTATGCGTAACATTCCAATTTTTTTGTGCATTTTTTTCCAATCAATGGTCATTTGGGAATACTTAACTTAAATATTTTTTTTTTACATTACGTTGTGTACATTAGGCTAGACGAAATTATTTTCCAGTCACTCCCCGAACTTAAGAATGTCACAAAAATAGAAAAATCCTTTCTCTTTAATTTTGAAATCGTTTGATCTTAACCCGTGCGCCGGGGCTTTGAATTTGGATCAGGTTAGCCTTTAGAGGGTGTTAACAGGAAAATACCAACAAAAATTATTTTCCGTGTATAGCTTGGACCACCCTTATGTACATATAAGCAAAACTAAACATACATATAAGTTATATAAATAAGTTAAAACAATTTTAGGATGCTCAGGAAGCCTAAGTACTCGGTTTTCGGAAGCTTCCATAAAGGCATTTGGATTTTAAATATTTACATCTATCCTTTGCGAATTTAGAAACTTGCTTAATTCACGCTCATAAAAAAACTTAGCTTAAGCAATATGTAAAAGTTTGATAATTATCTACTTCAATTACTTCACACGCGCATTTCCATCAATGAATGAGCCAAAAAGTGAATGTGAAATTTAGTATATGCTCGCAAGATTATGTGCATATATATAGTACATATGTATGTACATACATATGTATGTATGTATGTAAGACTGTTTGTATCAGCCACACAAAGGAAGTCCTTATCAATGGTATTCAGATACATATGAAGGAATAAAAATACTTTATTTAAAATGTATGTAAATATGTGCGAGTTGAGTGCCATAATTAGACCGTTCTTTGCGTGTAGGAATGTCTATTTTAATTTCTCCGTCAACCATGACGATCTTCGGTATGATGTTTTTCTACCAAGATACGACTGTATGCAGAAAGCTTTTAAATATCGCGTTTATGAGACGTCTTCATTCACTTGCTTACTATGTACATAAATAGTTTCACATGCAGTTTGACTGTGTCAAATAAAACGACTATCTATTTGTATTTTTTCGGACCTATAAGAAAATTTCGTTGTCGGTCACAAAAAAAAAATAAATGTGGCGACATTTCTCTGTCTTAATTTTTCAGTCAGCGCTCGCAAAATAAGAATTTTTAACGAAAAAAATGCTTTTTCCGCTACCTTTTTTAATAAACAATTAAATATAACCAAATGAAAAACATTGTAGCAAGTGCAAGTTTGAAGTAGCTATAGGACTTACCGTTGATTTTTGCAAATTTTTTTTCGTTGAAGGTTTTTCGTTAATTTTTTTTTCATATCAACAAGTCATCGAACATACTTTGTGTGGAAGTAAATTGCTGACCCAGTCACCCTTCTGAGGTAGCGGAGCTGAAACTGTTGGATCTCTTAGGTTTCATTAAGGATAGTATTTGGTACGGTAGAATAATGACTTGAAATTACTTAGCTACTCTCTCGGTTATGGGTACGTATCTCCTCCTGACAATCGCTTAAAAATGCCTCTCAAAATGCACAATTATGAATCCTAGACAAAGCATGGAAAATTCTACAAACGCCCTCCTAAGCTAACGTAACCTTGTTGGTGGCATTCCAGATGAATTTTTAAAATTAGTATGTTCAGAGACTTTTTGTAGAATTTAGTAATAAATATTTTT